ATCTATTATTAGTTCAAGTGTGAAATGCCTGGTATAGTGGTAAACCACGTTGAGCGAATTATTTCTCTATCCATCTTATAGACATTGAAAATGTCAAAATACTTCACCTAAAGCTACTCAAGAAGTCGTATGCTCAAATCACTTCCAGTTTACATTAAACATCATTATTCGTATAAGTGCTATCGGCTATAGTTCATACAATTAAAGCAATGAAGGTAGTATTTGAGGAACGCTGGAAGACATAAAGAAGACCTGCATCAAAATAAGCAGTTGACACTTGGTAAGACATGGAAATTCAAAGTATTTATCTCACTCAAATATGAGAGTGTGCCTAAGGATAACCATAAATCAATGTTTGAAAATAATTTACCTGGTTGACAATGTGGTAGTACACGTTCTATCAATTCTGTTACATCTTTCAACGCTGGTGGTGTATCTATCGTTTCAGGCTTTAAGGAGACATAAAATCTACCAAATAAATAGACAAAAAACCGAGGAAAGCAATTTAATGGATATTTTGAAAAATGAAATACTACATTTCTTTACAGAAGATATATAATCCTCTGACAGTATAGGCTGGTCACTTATAGGAGTGTTAGTAACTTTAAACTGACTTTCATGCTAATCGACTGTAACCTTAAGTAGTTATTAAATGAATTCCGTTTTTAATCTGTGAGACGCCTAAGAACTCTGGATTTAAGGTCAAAGTGAACTACGTTCATTTGAGCTTAGTGAAGGAGGGATATCAGTGTTTACATTGTTCACAGCACCAATGTCCACAGACAGAAATTCAAGATAAAATTATTACTGAAGTAGTACTGTAATAAATAATGTTTCATCACGTGTTATGTCGTATAAAGTTATCCACTACAGTAAAGCGAACCTAGTTAAGGGTATATATATATATATGCCAAAGCTGATACTTTAACAATATACTTTTCTCTACATACTCAAACACCAAGTCATTCCCTGACTTCGCCTTATATTGTCCGTTTCTCACTATATCTCACTGAATTACTGAAAATTAGGAAAAGTGGGAACCATATAACACTGGATTTATAATATCGTTCAACAGCTGATTTTGTGTTTAATGGAATGAAATCAAAGAAATCATGCATTTCTGAAATAAACAGAATGAAATCAGACCTGAAAACATCTAGACAGCATAATTGTTTTGTTCGTAACATGATAATCAGATGTATTACTGGCAATCGGTAGAGGAATTTTTGTTACTTACAAGCTGTGAAGCTTCGGTCCTTTCGTAGATTTATTAGCTGGAAAATGGATGAAATGATTAGTGCATTTAATTGCGACAATCAAATGAAGACATAAGAAACTCTAAACAATCAACTCGCTTAGTTAGGTTAATGATTACTGAGACAGTATAAAGAAACAATAAAAAGTTTTCTGTAAATAAAAGCTGAAAATCTCCGTTCTGTTAATATGGTTTATTAATACTGAGTAAGTCTTCCACTCACACTACTGCAATGAAAATCGCTTATCTTCTTGGTGAATATGAACAAATGCAACTTCTATGAATGTATTTATTAGCTATTTTAGAAATGTGGACTTGCAGTGGTAAACCTTTTCTGCTTTCGTCACCTAGTTTAGTGTCCAGAACCATAGTTGGTTAAATCGCCTTCTATTTTATTTTTCTTTACCTGACTTTTACTTGACCTGTAGATGTGTGATCAGACTGTTGGAAGTACATTGAAAAGAAGATGTCATATTTTTCAAATATACTTTGTCTTCAAATAATGCAAATCAACACCTAAAAGCACTTCTTTGCATTCTGGCTTTCGTCACTGAAGATATCTTTCAGTAGTTTCACATTCCCCTTTTCGTTCTTTAACTCTTTGTGAGTTCAATTTGTAAGAAACTATCCAACTTGGCTGCGAAAAGGTGGGAGAAGTTCTGTCAAAAATGTTACAATTGAACATATCGTCGAAATCTGTCATAATATAATGATTAATCCCCATTTGAAAGGCATTTACGATGTGAAAAATATTTTTCCCAAAACAGTATGATTCCATCTTCTTACCACTACAGAAGCCCTTATCATATGCATAGTGATATATGAGTGTTATATGTAAAGGGAGATCATTCACAACCTATATATATATCGCAAACTTAGTTACAATTTTCTTCTTGTCTTCAGCCTCTTTCTTCACTAAATAGTCTCACTTCTATTTTTGGCTTTAAATCATCATTTTCAGTTTGTTTCCATGATCACCTGGAATCATCTACATTATTATTATATCCTTTAATTCCTAGAGGAACATAGGGCTTCAGCTGCGCGTCTTCATTGCCTTCTGTTTCCTGCCAACTTTTACACTCCGCTCCAGGTCTGCCCACATGCTTTCGTCTCCTCTTCACATGACCTCCTCCATGTCACCCTTGCACTGACGACCAACTCGCCGCTTCCCCTCCACGTTCCACTGGAGCAATGGCTTGTCTAGTGATGTCACTTGATGGCTTCCTCAGAGTATGTATGACCAACCAATCCATCTCCATTTCTTCCTGCCTATTTGTTTCACAATCGGTTCTTGGTTGGTTCGCTCATTGCCAGAGATCCCTGTTGCTGATCTTTTCTGGCCATCTGATCTTGAGTATCGAGTGAAGACAACTGTTAATGAAGGTCTGAAGTTAGTTGGACATGCTCTTTATGACGCGCCAAGTCTCTGATCTACATTAATTTTTTTAATTATTTAACACACACCTCAACCTTATTTTTATGATTGTGTAACTTATATGCTATATAGTGATTGATCTTCCTAGCCTATTAGCTTAATTTTAACTTTCATATCATTATTTAGTTTCATATTTTCTAAATAATTCCAAGTAAATAATATTTGTTATTATGCTGTCTTTTAGAAAGAGAATTCGTGAAATTGTGACAAGAGTTAAACAGAATAAAATCACGGAAAAGATATTTTCGTTGAATTTCTCGTTTCCTTCAATGGTATCCAGTGGATATTTTGAGTAAAAATGCTATAATTAATTGATCATCAATGGGAATTTTAGTCAGTTTTATAGTGTACCAAAATGCCTATCAGTGCCATTATCGAAAAATGATTTTTAAACATGACACATTGTAGACTTTTAATGCATTATACTTAACAACAAGTAGACAGAGATGAGGGAGTATTCCAAATAAAATTGTTATGACAACATATTAGAGTCGCATGTTAATTACGCGTACCTAATCGCTTTGATTTTCTCACGAAAATAATCGAAGGTTTTTACGCAATGTTCCAGAATTTTACAAATATGTTCTGACAGTAGAAGCAACATCACTGTGTAATTATATGATTATACTAACATTTTTTAATAAATGAGACAACTTATGAGAAGATAAATAAGTAGTCAATTTAAATCTCGAGCTGACGTCAATGAGAGTACCACTGAAAATTCAGAAGTACTGAATGGTAGTTCTCTTCTGCTTTAGGAACCCATGGCAGTACACAGATATGATTCCATCATGAATGGAACGCAAATACTGATGGTGTCATGGCAGCATACTACACTGAAGCTTACAAAATAGCTCTCCAGTACTGCATGGTTTTCAGTGATTCTCTGACTTATGTCAGCTCATGATCGAACTGGAAGTCAATCAAATAGGCGCAAACCAACACTTTGAAATAACTATATATTTACAACAACAAAGGGAACGTTTTCCAAGAACTTCATATTTTTTGGAAAGAGGGTTGACAAGGGATAAAATTTCTATGTCAACTAGAAGGAATAATAACAGTAATTATTCAGGGTTTCTGTGTTACACAGTTTAATATTACTCAAAAAAGGATACATAAGTTCAGAATTTGTTGTCATCTAATTATTAGAGGAACAAGTATTCTGTTGTCTTACTTATCTTTATTAATATATTATGTGTCAGTATGATAATTCAAAGCGCGCATATTCAACAGTAACTACTACTAAGTGGAAATGAATCCATAAAATCTTATATGGTCTTCTTAGCAAGAATGGAAATGGATCCCAAACTGAGGCATTTTGAACACTTCAGAGTAAGCAAATCAAGATAGGACTCATTAACGCAGCGTCTATATTACTCTTATTGTTATGTACAGTACAAATGTCAACTTAGTATCTACACAATTCCCTTCTAAGCAGGCATTCATCGCTCACATATTTCAGTGCACAGCAATGTTTTGGACGATGTCCGTGGATTTTATAATTTTTTTAAATCTCACATTATCCTCAAAGATTAACAGTTTTGAAAATGACTTAGTATGTGAAAACAAATTCTCAAGTGCTTAAGATATGCATTAAAAATTGATGTGGCTATAATTCTTACTGATCAAAAGACTTTACCTTGAGTATCTTCTTCATCAGATGAGTTCAGTGTATCTTCTTTTTGGGTGTACAATAAATCCTCGTCATCATCACTTGCTAAGAAAAAGCGATTTTGATCTTCGTTAACCTCCGCTTCATCATTATCAATCTCTTTTACTGAAGGTACATTTGACGTCTTATTTTGCATCTTACTTTCCTTCAGAAACTGTTGCTCAATGGATTCTTTAGCTCTTAGTATCTCTCCAACTTTTGGCCACCTAAATCCAAATGAGTCCTCAGATTCCTTTTTATCTAGTTTACGTCTAGCTTCCTGGCGACTATACGCAAGTGCTTTATTCCACAATCCTGATTGAGACAGTTTGGAATTAGATTTCCTTTTTGCATCAGTGGGCTTCATTCTAATTTCCTCTAGTAAACGACGTAATAGGTTAACAGGATTAGACAGTGGAGCAGTCTCCATTAGACGAGGTAAGTGTTCACATAATGCACGAACCCACCACCATGATTCACTGCTACACATACCTGCGGGATCGTAATAATGATGCTGAAATAAAATTGAAAATAGACAGTAAGTTATTATTTAAAAAATTGGAAACTAAGTTCAAATCGTGAGAACATTTACGAACTAATGTTACACTAATTGTTTGAGAAATGTGATATGGCTAAAATTAGAAATAAAAATAACTTATGTATATGTGGAATCCCTTTCTTAGCATTATGAGAAGAAAATAACTTTTTCACCTCAGTGTCTATCGATTAAATCTCAGTGAAATTCTTGTTAATAAGCAAGAACAAGCTACCGTGTGAATTCTTTCATCACTAAAACAATCTGAATGACATACAGGTTATCACAGCTAAAATCTTAATAACTATGCTCTCGGTTTACTAAGTATTTTTTTAAACAGTGCATTCTGTAGTTCACATGTAATTAAACACTATAGTGCATACCAGTTATTCATTCTGAATTCAGTGAAATGGATTTTGAAATCTGGATGCCTCAATCAATGGGCCCGGGTTGTATTTGAATTAGCGTCAGTGAAATTATGAAATCGTAACTGTTTATTCTACGAACAGAGGCTAAAAATATAAGCGAATGTTTCTACAGACCTTGACAAAGTGAATACAACTTTGAAATAATAGAGAAGATTTATAGCTCAGGTGGATGATTTCCAATTAGAAGTGTCCTTTGAGCTGATTGGTTTAGTTTCGGAGCTTTGTCTGTTAACAGAATACATAAGTTAACGGAAAGTATAATCCAATAACTTATACGAATAAAGAGTTTGATTTAAATTCATAAAAGTAGCATGTGTTAACTAGAAAATGTACTGTTTTATCAAGTCATAATGGTGATGTTTACATGCTCAGACCAGTTATTGTCATCAATGACAAGTTTGATTTACTTCAGCTTATCACGTGAATAATATGTTAGTGCAGTGGGCGAGATTTGTATCCAAGCATTAGTGTTAATGTTTTTAGTTACCTTTGCCAAACAGACTACGTCATAATAAAAAACATGGAGTATTGGTGTAGTTCTTAAGAAAAACACCTTATTTGGAGTTTTAAATAAACATACGTTTGCAGCTTAATTGCTCCACTTCTTATAAAAGATTCATGACCTGCTAAATGCTCAAATTTTTTATTGCTCTTAGCCAGTGGTAATGTATTACCGATCCACTTTATGCAAAAAATGTTTGTATGAAGTGAACACTGTGTATGCCAAATAAACATTATAAAACATTCAAATACAGCTATTTTAACACTGAAAAATGATTGAATAAATCATCCAGAAAATATTTTATTACTTACCAACTGAAGGATGATATTTTCCAGCTGAGCGAAATATGCATCTGCAACAGTTGTTAAATTAACAGATTGTTCAGCAGTCGACATCAAGTCATTCAGTACATCATTGACATCTCTGCTTAAAGTTGGATCATTTTTTTGCGTTGTTGACTGGTTAGCGATTGGCAGAGCCAGTGTGATGGCTGCAGTTCTGTCGAAATATTTGAAAATAATGGAGGCGTAACTTTGAAACTAGGCTCAACAATTTGTGTATACTGAAGAGAAATTTATAAATATTTACTTCACGCAGTTAACTAACCGATCCTAACACCGAGAATGAGACTAGGTTATATGCAAAGCTAAAAACTTCACATTGTAAAAAAACATCCCATAGCTAATGAAACTTCAAAGAAACAGAGAAAATAAGCTTATTCTCCGCTAGAATTGGGTAAGCTTTTCACTTCTAGGACGAATCACTACGGTGGTGGAAAAAATTCAGAAAATCAGATTGTTGATGTATCTCATTTTGGTGAAGGCTAGAGCAAGCAATGAAACAAAGAAGGTCCGCATTATATTTGAGGCTTGGTGGCTGGTAGTTCTGCTCTTACTATACATAAAATAAAAATATGTGATATAGGGGTATTAGGAATCCGTGTAAGTGCATAGAATGGATGTGGCCTCCTTGAATATTTTTCTGAAGAGCCAATAATCCACCCCTATCACCTAATTAGCAACCATGACCACACTTAGGAAGTGGCCGTCATGATATCGTCAACAGTATCCGAAGCTGTGATACAGGGGGAAATAATTTCCCCCAGCATCGGAGTAGAAAGGTTTGACTCAAAAGGAAGAGAAATCACATTGCTGCACGCCTACAAATAATGCAGATCTAGTGAAGAAGGAAATCTTCCTATAGTCAGCTGAAAACACCACTGTGCGAGAACCCAGTCACATCAGGACATTAGAATTCTGATTGGTGATATGAACGTTAAACTGGGTGTAAACAATACAGGGACAGAACTCACAAAGTGTTAAATGACTTGGATTGAAGTGAATCAAAATGGAAACCTCTTTGCAGACTTCAGCATCTTTGACGATTCATTGATTTGAGATAGTGTGTGTAAGTACAAAGAAATCCACAACGTAACATCTCACTAAGTAAACACATGAAAAATCAAACAGACTCTATCTCAATCCCCAGAAAATGGGGAGACAGTCTACTTGAGAAAAGGTCATGATAAAGAGAGAATTAAGGTTCAGGCCAATGCAAGGAACTTTCAAAATGGATTTGAAAGCCTTCAAAGGAGTTGCAGATGGCTCGCAGTCCAAAATCACTGCTTTGAAACTGAAGGACTAAGCTGCTAACGAAATCTTCACTGTAGTTATTAGAAAAAGACTCGAGGAATTAGGAGAAATCGCCGAGAAAACCAGTGTTGAAAAAAGCTGAAACTCCCTGAAAACAGTGTGGTAAGAAATCTATGTAGACATCTTAGAAGGGAAGAAGCGTCTCACTATGAACAATTGGAAGCTTATAGAGGAGAGAAAGATGGTGAATCAGAAGCAGAAGTTCTGAATAAATGATTGAAAAAAGTGCATTTGGAAAGACAGAAGAGGCAATAACGATACACTGACAACTGAAGCAGAACAGGATGAGGACGGGAGTGACCTCACAAAACTTTATCCAACAATCAGGATTCTATTCAGGAGGATATCATTATAAATGAAGCCAATGGAACAGAGAAAATCCAATTACTAAAGGAAAATCTTTTAGCTGATCACTTCAAATGACCGCTGAATCGATTATCTCCTGCGGTTCTTTTAGAAATGCTACCAACAGATACAGATTTCAACTAGAATTTCAAAGCAAACCTTTGCACAAAAGTATGACAGCTCAACTTACTGTACTTCGAAAAGTGAATATCAAGGGAGAGCACAAAATAAGTAATTCAAAGTATTATAAGCCGAAATGTTAACATCAACCCTCCAAAAGATACTGAAATTTTGAAGGCCTGAGGGGTACTGAAAGCGGCAAAGGCATTAGAACTAGATGGAATTAACCGGAAAGCACTCAGAACGGACAGATAGATCTCACTGGACATGTTCATATTGCTAATTCATACAGCTTAAAAAATCCAAAGCACCTGCCAACTGGAAGGGAGGCTACCTTAGCAAAGTGAGAAAGTAAAATGACGTAAGTCGATGTAAGAACTGTGGGAGAACCATTACTCTTTCCACCACAAACAAAACATTAAGCCATATTCTCCTTGAAAGACTGAATGATGTTCTTGATGAAAAATTTGTCCAGCTTGATTCAGGAAAAACTAAACTTGCTTAGATTAGACTGTCAAACTGGGCATTATCACTGAACACAGCAAAGAATGGCAGTCAGCGCATAACCAAAAATTCATTGATTTCAAAATGTCATCGACAGTGTCAAACGAGGAGTAATTTGAAAATAGTTTCAAAACTGACGAGTTTAGTGCCAAACACATATACAAGACCAACTGAACTAACCGATAGTGATGTTGTGTGCCAAGCAGTTCACAAAGGTCAACTCAATGAACTGCTTGAAGTAAAGACAGGATTAAAGCAAGGTTTCTTACCACCACTGCCACATCATGCGACAGACTGTGAGTGGAGAGTGGGAAGACAAGCATTCTATAGAAGATCTGGATTTTATAAATGATTTATGTCTCTTGTGACACCTATGTGAGCGAAATAAGAAAGTTATCAGTAGGAGGTGGAAAAGATCGGAAGAACTTCAGGTAAACGTAGGTAGGTAATGAAGATACCTGACTACAAACAGCCTACACTAATCACCATCAGTGGAAGAAATACATAGGAAACTGTCCCTTTCATTTACCTCGAAGCACCGTTTCAATTATAAACACGGGGGATGGATGGCGAATAAAAGCCCTAAACACAAGCCTTTACTACTCTAAAGTCAATGCAGAGACCAACAACACTCAGCACAAGGAACATCAACCAAATTGTTAACGCTGATGTCAAGTCAGTACTTCTTTGTGGTTCAAAGATGTAGCTCGTGTGCCGCGAAAATCATTTCTTACAGGCTACTGCAAACTTTCGTCAACGCTTTCTCTCGTCGAATACTCAAGAAATGATAGCTACCTGAAAACGACTGACAGCAAGCGACTCCAATAACCCATTACTCAGAAAACATGAAAAGTGAAATGGTAATTCTCTGTGGAGATATTCACGTGACGTCACACACTGGGCACAGCCTCGAGTGAAATCTGAAATGGAAGTGACAGGTCAGGCTTCCGGAAATGGCATGGAGGGAATCATATGAGTAAGGAATCAAAGATTGTGGTCTATTGTGGGGCCATCGGTAAGTGTTGACAAAGAGCTTAGTCCCACAAAAGTGTGTATACGTGAATTTAAGTTCTATTTGGAAAGTAAGGAATAAATACCAGTAGTAACAGCATAGACTAGTTAAAATTTCAGAATTTCATTTCAAAGTGTTTACAAAGTTCCAAGAATTATCATTCATTCACATCAGTATGCTGCAACAATCCAAAGTTAATATTCTTGTAGTTGTTGCCTCAAAAAGAGCTGATAATCCAAACAGAACCCTAAAACTAGTATTCAAGGCTGAGCTCAAGAAACCTCACTTTCAGAGAGCTACATAATTACATCAAAAGGATATCAATGAACTGGATTCAAGAAGCAATGAAAAAAGGTAATCACTTAAGAAACAAATGTATTCACAACTCACACGCGAAGGATTTTTCGAACTGCAAGAAGTCTTTTCTCTTTGGACAGATTTGACGAAACGGCATTCAAACCTGGAGGAAGAAGAGCTAGCGGCCATGTAATAAGATATGGTAGCATCGGAGATAATAAAAGTCCACCAATTTTACGCACTTTAGGATGAGGTCGATTTGAATTCATTGTTGGTGGCAGAAAAGGATATATTATTGCTTCCATTTTTGAGATAACTTTCATGACTGTAGATGCGAGTGGGTTATTACTGGACGCAGATTTTCTTTTGACACCTTTTTCACTAGTTTGTGAAAGCTGTAGGCTGTCAGTGAAGATGCAGACAATGAAAATTTAAGATTCAGGTTGTTTACCACTGTAATAATGAGTGAACGAAGACTTCCATAAGCAAAAACCATTTGACAATTTCATTTTCAAAAGTGTGGTTCAACAAGCGCTACTTTATGTACCTGTGTGTACCAATAAGTTATTCCATACTTTAAAAAATTAATGGGGGTCAGTCTAACAAAACATGCATGTTAATAAGGCCTTTGTGTCTTAAATGACAGTTAAAGTGACTCCCCTCTCGCCCTGAATATTACAAAATGTTACAAAACAAATTCAAGAGAAAAGGAATATTGGTACTAGGAGGAAGGTTAAAGTGTTTTGTGTCATAAAACAAACACTCATAGGTGTTACACACAGGACTGAGTTTAGTTTGTAGGTTGGCTAGGAAAAATTACCCTGACGACAGGAAATGTTTTAGTATTTCACTATGAGAATTCGTAGATGATAGCTCAAGCTTTATTTCAAGCACAATAAAAATATTGAAGAAAGATCATTCACATCAGACAGAATAGTGTATTGGCAATAATATTTGGTTATTCTTTGATAACTAGAACTCGTTTATCACATGCGTTTATGCACACCAACTTGCAGAATCTTGTAGAACAGCTTTTATGAATTAATTTATACCCTTAGACTTTCAGAAATGCTCTAACACATCTGAAGTAATTTTTAAAAGTCGGTTCCAAAAGTAAAATCTTCAGAAATTCGTGGAATAAGTGGAACCAAAACTAAAGAAATTAAACAATATCAAACTAAATTGTAATTAATAAAGCTTGAATGCCAATCAACAAAGATCAATCATGTAATTCTCCGACGGAACGGAAAATAATTGCAGACATAGTAAAAGAGAGGCAAAGTGATTGCATGACAAGTATTTAGTGAAAGAATTGAACAAAAAAACTGTTACGCTTACTTTAGCATCAAAAGACTAAATACGCACACATGGTGCACCACGTTTACGGCTGAAACCATGAAGTTTGCTAAAAATCAACGGTCTCATTAAACACCATTTACCGAGCACAAAAGCTATTACATTTAGTCAGGTAGAAACGTAAACATTTCAAACTAGAGAAAGCAGGTTTTCTTCGACTAACGTTTCTATCACATGATCAGATATATAGCAATTTCCTGGTTACCTAGATACTCATCAACGAGACACACAACTGGACCATATTATGCGTTAGAAACATGTTACTTTAGCCAATTATGGGATGTCAATAAAGACTTTAATCTGCACTGGACACTAAGAACAAGATTTGGATTATCAAAACAAATGTGAAGTCAGTTAGTTCTTATGTATGGGTAAGAAACTTAGCAGCCGAGTCACAAAAAGCATTTCCAACATCCACGTGCAGACTTTTATCAACCAACAGCTGCCTTCGTTCACCCAATACTCAAGATCAAATGGCTGACTACAAAGAATTAGCAACAGAAAACTCTACGAATAGACTAACCAAGAACATATCATTCAACAATTATGCAGGAGAAAATGGAGATGGATTTGGCACACACACTGAGGAGACCGTAGAATGACATCGCGCGAACGAAGCTGTAATTCGAGTGGAAACGTTCGAAAAGAAACGGTGAGTGGATTGTCCTAGTGTGACATGGAGGAGATTGTGTGAGGAGGAAGGAGATGAGAGAATATGTGCATTTGTGGGCCCAGATGAAGAGGACAGTAGAGAATAGAAGAAAGTGAGATGTGTTGTTGAGGCCTTATGTTCCACTTGAAACGTAGGAGAACAGTAATAATACCAGTATAATATATTAGGTTTTTCCTGTTCAAACGTCTCACAACATTTTATCAGTTTAAACAATCAGCTTTTTAAAGAATATTAGAATATTTTTGTAAAATAAATAAAATAAGGAGTAATTTGACTGATTACTTAACCCAGCATATGATTCTCACTCTTAATAGTTATGAATTCTTATGGAAATCTTTAATATGAGATATTAAACTGTCATGATGAACCATTGGTTCCTTTCTGATAACTAATAAATAAAGATCCTCATCGTTGTGTAAATAAAATTATTGGTAAATATGTTCACTTGAAAATAATACCCAACTACAGAAGAGATTATTTGAATGAAAAACGCAGATGAACAAGTTGAAACGGTTACATACCAAGACGGACTCAGCCTAAGCGTTGCTGCCATGCTGGTTAGATCAATACTGTTGGATACTGGTTCATATCTAGCTCCAAGTTGTATGTCTATGCGTTGAGCGAATTCAACAAACCCTTTAACACATTCTGCCTACAAATTTTATGCAAGGATAAATTCAATGAGTAAATGTTAAAAGTTATAAAAAAAAGGAAAACAATTCAAATTGTTACAGTGCTTATTTATAAATTTATATGATGCATTTTACTAAATATTCTTACACTGACAGTTGGCTTAGCTATTTACCTAATAGTAAATCTACTCACTCTTGTGTATACTTAGCTACATAGTGAAGCAGACAGCGATGAAACTGTTTTATTATGTAACAAATTACTTATGTGGCATACAATTCATAACTGATCAGATTATTAGGTGTTATGTGTGGTTAATTATGTATACATAATTTTGTGTATGTATTAATTTAAATTCTGTTTTACAGTTCTTGAGATTGACGTGTTTCAAAGTATGCCGTAGAATATTTCACATTAAGAAAATTTCACATTCATGATTTGGAACACTCTGAAACCTGTCAATAACTATACCACAGATAATGTTCTTGGTTATTATCTATGTCAGCTACAGTTATATTTCATCTATAATTAGTTACCAGTTGAAATTATTTCACATTTGTGTATGAGTAATTTGGCTTGAGCACTCTTTACTGTTTCTCGTCTGTTTAGTAAAAACTATAGATTTTATCACTAAGTGAGCTAATTAACTGCAGTTTATTTCTTAAATTACTTTAACTTTAATGCACTACCGAAACCTTGCATGAGCGTTTTTCATTATCAACTGCAGATCTACAGGAATTTGATGGATTTGAAATTAGATCACTAACTGGTATCAGTCAGAGGAAAAGTGAAAACATGGAGTACTGAACGACTGTTTTGACCACTATTTGAAACGCTTCAGAAGTACATGCCCATGAGCATATCAGGAATGGAGAGACTGTTGATTTTTCAGCCACTGGGACGTAATGCAGTGACCCATGAATTCGAACTTCTACTGTCGTCAACAAATATTTCTCCCAACGCTTGCCCTTGTTGGTCCTGTGTAAGCTCATGGAAGACGACATCTAGAGTTTCGAAATTGAATGTACGGTACTCCCTGGTTCTCAGTTATCATCTATTTGGTGTCACTATATGGTCTGACGTTAACTTCGCTGTTTAATTGTGCTGAACACTAACAAATTATTATATCGTATGCTATCAGAAACAAGGATATTTCGATAGGCTCTGAAGTACGTAAAAACGTCAGATATATACTTTTTTCAGTATTTCAGCACCCAAGCGTTTATATTTAAAAGGCTCAAACTACAATCTGTTTTGTTAGATAAAATAATTACTCTTTCAATGATAAAAGGATAATTTTTTATCAAAATAAAACTGATATATTAGTGAAAATAAGGTAAGCATGATTTTCACATCCCGTCTTAGGTGTTAAATTACAGCTATACCTTCAAAGTCTGGAATGTATTAACATAAAAATATTAAATCATTCCAATTTCTTATGAGACCTACCACATCGCCTGGATCTACTTCCAGTTTACGTTGAGAGTATTGTATACTTGAAAGTGGATCAGGTCTCATAGTCTCCCAAGTACATGCCACAAGTGATAAATTGGGCAGTCTGTGAGTGAGACAAAGGGTATATAGAGTGCACTCCATTGATAAGATAGTAAGAAATATAGGTGATGTTTGGTTAAAAGTATACTGCTGGCAGGTTCGAAGCCATAATCTTGATTTTTCTGGTGAAAATAGACCAAAAAGTAGTGATGAATTTAAAATAGGAATTGTTCCAACACTGGCAAATTTTTCTGTGAAACCCGGTTCTTTTTCTTCCATTTGTAAAATTTCATCATACTGCCATAATTCAAATAAGCCGTCGCGCAAGAGCTTCAAAGTTGCATATGACATCATTGATGGTGGACCAAGCATGTGTGATGAAATTAATTCTAATAAAAGATTGCCATCGTACCACCTTATCAATTTTCCGATATCATTTAAGGCCTATAACAATAAGAAAATAGTATGAGTATTAAGCAACAGTAACCACATCTACTGGCTGGAAGAATTAAGCAGAACTAAAGAGTAACTTAATGAACTAAGATAAACAGTAGAACCGATTCAAATTACCTTCACTACTGATTGCATCTTCATTAAATTAGTTTAGGATATGAAATAAAATTGCAAAATATATATATATATATATTGTAAAACTGACAACAAACATTTACAAAACTATCTAATATATTCACCAAAAGAGATTGGAATGAAAGCCTATATTCTTTAACAGCGGTGAAAAACAGGTTGTGCGGCGTTTTTATATGCGTTTTTAATATTCAACAATTGCTATTATCTAAAGGCGTGAGACCGAATTTACCAAACTGTCTGTTTTTGAGTGAACAAAACAATACCATCAAAAATATGACCCCTGAGTAGAAATAACTATTTTAGATACTAATAGTCCCACAAATACAGCTCTGGAGTTAGTTAGGAATTCAGTGAATATTGATCCTGAGCTCAAAAGAAGGATTATGCCCTCGACTGATGAAAGAATATTAGGTGCTCAGTTACTTCTAACCTCCACTGTATTCAAATTTCAAAATAAACTATAGAAAGAAACTAATGGAGTGACAATGGGATCACCGATATCCTCAATAGTGGCAGACATATCTATGGATAGTTGGGAACAAAAGGCTGTAAGAACGTCTAGTCCTGCTCCTAGGTTATGGTGAAGACATGTGAATGAAAAATTCAGTGTGCTGAAATCCGAACATATCCCTCATTTTTTCACACATATAAAGTCAATAGTAGACGGGATCCAGTTCACTTCTGATTTAGAAGACGAAGTGTAGAATAAAACGAAAACAAGATGGTCGGTTAAATACTAGCGTTTATAGGAAACTGACGCACTCTAATAAATACTTAGACTCTAATTCATCCCATCCAGAATCAGTAAAGATAGGTTCAGTTAAATGTCTTTATAATCGGGCCAAGAGCCCAACTAGTAAAATAAATAATGAATTCAAACAAACAAAGGAAGTATTACTAGTGAATAACTACCTGCCAGAATTTATTCAGAAATATATAAATAACCACTGAAATACAAAGATTAGCAATAAAAATGACATAAATAATATAGAATTCAAAGCCTCTATAGCTCTACCATATGAAGAAGGAACGTCAGAAGCCTTATGTTGGATTCTCAGTGTCATTCGAATTAGAGTTAATTGGTGGTTAAACCAACTTACTCTTTCAGAGATAACCTTTGTCACCCTAAGGACCCATTGGATCCAATTAAGAAAAATAATATAATTTACCAAATACCTTCTAATGGCTGTGAGGTCAATTACATAGTTGAAACTAGTAGGTCAGCGTCAACTAGATAGTTGCAACATAAAAATTGAGATAGACTTAGAATAATTTACCCTGCTTAGTGAAATAACCTAGAAAAAAGCTCAGCTATTGCACTGCATTCACTTACATGTAACCACAAAATAGAGTGAGATAGGATGAGAGTATTAAAAAGTAATACAGTTAGGTGGAGGGAGAGGTTAATTACTGAAGCGTTGCGTATCTATTCAACACTGCACAAGTGCAATCTGAGTGACGCAAAGCCTTTACTGGAGATATGGAAACTGGCAGCAAACAAAGAAATGTTTGAGAGACGGAAAGAGAGAAAATACATATATGACAAATTGTGAAAACGTGCTACTAAATTGATGTGATTATGGGCGATAAGAAATGCTCGTAATGTCATCCGGTTGTTAATACTACATCAATGTGTGCTATTTAAAATAAAGTTATCTTATATGGAACCATTACATTTGCTACAAAAGTCGCCCATATATGACAATTTGAACCATGATTAATTCACCCAGATATCAAACTTATAAGCAAAACTGTTAATACTGCACGCGCTGTGCAAAATACTGTTTAGCATGAAATTGAAAGATACTATCTCAGTAGAGGCAACAGTAATTTTGGCAAAATAAATACACGATCAAGGCAAATTATTTAAAATAACCTCAGTGTATTTAAGGAAAAATCAAACAATCTGGGGTTATTTTAAATAATTTATAATGATTCATTCTGACTCGGTGTTGAAGTCATTTCAGAAGTATTTGTAACATCTACAGTCTGAATACTTATAAATGCATGATGTTTAAAAATGTAGAGTCTGGAAGAAGTTAATCCCATAGAATCAGTTACTTTTTACATTTGTCAACTACACAGTTTCAAACCTCACAATGGTTTCTTACAGAAATCAAGAGTTTAAATTAAAATGCATATTACGCATTCATGAATGATATCAGAATTCGGAGTAAAACCTCCCTATAGTACAGGCCGCTGCTAAAACAAGTATTTGGTGACCACTTACACTGGTTATTAGTGCTTGCATTGAGTAATTCGAAAACTTCTGATTTCATTGTATGTACATCTAGTCAACTATCTAGCGTTGCTAGTCGAAATATTGGTGGTGCAAATCGATCTGAGTCCTTGGTATAAGACAGTTACAAGGCATTCCTGGAGACTTCAGATGAGAACGAAAGATGGAGTTGTTTGGTGTGGAGTAGAGGTAATGTGCCGCATAAAAAAGCTCCCTATCTATGAATGAATAATACTACTAGAGAAGTGGACTATTTGTCAGTCCTGTCAAGTATTTCAATTTCTTTTTAAAACATTGCATTTTAGTTCAGAGCTTTTTGAAAACAAAATTTTAAGAAAAGAAAGCAGAATGAAAAAATAATTCTGTAATCAAAGATATTCTAAACATAATAAATTTTACTTTGCATCATGCATACTTTAGTTACGGTTATCAAAGCGACTGAGTTGAATAAATGAATAAACTTTCAAACTTGACATATAAATACAATTACTTAACCCCTAACATTACCCTTATAGAGAAAAAATAACTCTAATAATGATGACTTTATCCAAATACTTTTTAATGATTATTACTTTTTTAGCAGAAGTACGTAGTTCAACATTCTCGTCCAGCAAGCATTCTGTGGAGAGCTGTAACATTTTGAACAACATAGATTTCATACTGATTGTATCAAGTTCCACACGACTACTTGTTCTATTTATTGCACTAAATGCTTGAGCTGAACTCAGGCGTTTTAGCCATGTTTGTGCTCTGCCGACTTCCAGTTGTTTGCCCTAGAAAAAAACAAACAATAAAATACTGCTTTATATCACAGGAAATTAGATTTCAAATTTCGTGTATGCACTACATAGTAAGATTGTGATAAGGTGACATGTTCAACTGAAATAACACCGTACGAATTGAAAATACACAAGCAAAAGAATTTTTAGCCTTAAAAGTTAGAAATCTCATTATCAGGTGGAAAGCGGGGTAAGTTTCCGAGTCACTTTGGATTTGCAAATTAAAACAACTTAAAGTCAGAAATAAACAAGACAGACTTCTACAAGCAGTGATATTAAAAGGTGGAAAGATTATTTATCATTTACATACCAGTCATAAAATACGGGGCCAAGACAACTAAATGTTGATTTACAGTAAAATAATCATGATGAATAGTGAAACTGATTGTGTAACACAGTTACTGAAATAAAAAACATCAAATTATAAATAATCCTCAAGTTAGAAGTTATTTACTGCTACAAAGAAGCACTTGGATGATTATTATTATTATTATTATTCCCTTTAATTCCTAGAGGACCATAGGACTTCAGCAGCACGTCTCTTTTGCATTCAGTTCTCTGCCAGCGTTTTCACCTGACTCCATGTCTGCCCACATGCTTTCATCTCCTCTTCACATGACCTCCTCCATGTCACCCTTGCACTGACGACCAACTCACTGCTTTCCGTTCGAGCTGCACTTGAGATCCTGGTGTGTGATGTCACTTGATGGCTTTCTCAGAGTATGGCTAATCCATCTCCATTTCTTCCTTCATATTTGTTGCACAATCGGTTCTTACTGAGTTGGTTCGCTCCCAGAGATCCCTAATGCTGATCTTTTCTGGCCATCTGATCTTGAGTATTGAGCGAAGACAGCTGTTGATGAAGGTATGTAGTTTTTTCGAAGTGCGCTTCATGATGCGCCAAGTGTCTGATCCATAAAGTAGCTCTGACTTCACATTGGATTTGAAATTCTGGATCTCGTGTTCATTATGTTGACCTCCACACAGACTTGAGAGTAATGAAAGCCTGCCCTGCTTTCCCGATCCTCGCTTTGATATCCTCGTCATTTCATCCTGTATTTGAAACGATGACTTCCAATTAGGTAGAAGAGGTTGCTTCTTTCGAATTTCTACCATTTATGCTGATTGTTGTCTGTTGTTGTTGCTGTTGGCCAGAAATCTTCATCACCTCTGTTTTATCTATGTTCGCCTGAAGTTGTATCTTCTCTGGATGCCTTTTCCGTCAACTTATTGCTTTTCACTTGCATATCTTCCAGTTTGTGGGAAATCAGACATATATCATCGGCGAAGTCCATATCCACCAAGTTTTTTGTGTGAGTCGATTTTATGCCTGTTTCCTCATTGCCCGTTGTCTGTCGGATTATCCAATCTGACGCAATCAGGAAGATCATTGGCGATAGTAGACAGCCTTGCCTCACTCCGGACCTCACCTTGAAGGCTTCCGTAAGTTTCCCGTTGTGGATTACTTGGCATGCGGCATTGTTGTACAGCTGTTGGATGAGATGTATAGTTGTCGATGGCACCCCGTAGTAGCGAAGTAGTTGCCAAATGACCCCTCGATCGACGCTGTCGAATGTCTTTTCAAAGTCAATAAAGTTGAGACAGAGAGCTGACTACCATTCCACGCTCTGTTCCATGGTAACCCGTAGTGTTGCGATTTGATCGATACATGACTTGTTTCTCCTGGATCCAGCTTGTTCCGGTCGGAGTTTTGCATCCAGGCTGGCTTGTTTGATTCTCTCCAGGATGATTCAGCTTAGTATTTTTCTTGGGATGGACAGGAGCATAATTCCACGCCAGTTCTTTAATTGAATTACGTCTCCTTTCTTTTGCATTTTGAATAAACAGCCTTTCTTACAATCAATAGGTACTCCATTATGGATAAGATTTTATTTCGATAGATCACACAGTGTTGTACAGTAATATTAACTGATCTTATCCATAATGGATTGATACTCTACCACAGTGCCCAAGTTTTATACTTATATCAATCCACAGGTTCCTTGCCCTCTTTTCAAACCTCCAGCAGTGGTGTCATCAAGTCCGCTGATGTCTCGGGACCCATTTTCAATGCTTCTACTCGGATTCTGTCTGGTCTTGCTGCTTCTCCGGCTCTTAGCACCTTTATTGTCGTTAGGATTCCTTCTTTCATCGGAGAGTTGGTGTCCACTGGTAGTTCTGCTTCCTCTGTTGGTATTATTGGGCGCGTTGTAAGTGGTGGTTGATTTAGAAGTCTTTTAAATTGCTCAGCCTAGTGTTTCCTTTGTTTTACCTCTTTGGTGATTGACTTTCCATTGTCATCCTTCATTGGCTTATTCCGCGTCGAACTTTTCCCCGACAGGAACCTAGGTGTTTGGTAGAATGTTGCGAGGTATTTTTTGCCTACAGCTCTTTCTGCTTCACTTGCCATGGCTTCATAATATTTTCTTTTGTCTTCCCCGGCACTCTTCTTAGCTCTTTTGTTCAGTGTATTGTAGTTTGCATTCAACTCCTGTTTTTCTTGCTCGTTGATGCACAGAATAATCTTTTGTTTCACCATCCTTCTCTCTTCTATTAGTCTCCATGTGTCCATAATGGGCCACTGTTTGCCCTATCTCTTCTTTCTGCCCAGAACTTCTATTCAGGTTTGACTCCACACCGCTTTCAGGTTGTCCCAGTGCTTTTCGACGCTGGTATTTTCGCTAGTGTTGATTTGTGTCTCCTCCTTTTTCTTATGTTTGCAATGAAGATATTTGTTATATCCTGATCATTCAGTTTTTGAGTATTGAACTTGACTTGTGGTCTATCTGCAGCTCCTGTTTCTTTGAAAGTTCTTAATTTGATTTGGAGTGTTACTTGCACGAGATAGTGCTCTGAGCCAACGTCTGCTTCTCTTCTTACTTTTGTGTCCAGTGAGCTGCGTCTCCACTTCCTCGAGCAACATTTAGATGAAGTTAGTTTGGTGTTTGGTTCGCGCTCATGGTGACACCCCTGTAGCCTTACAGATTTACTTGTGATGCATAAGCTGCCACCAATCACTAGTTTATTGGAGGCACAGAAGTCAGAGAACAGTTCTCCGTTTTCATTCATCTCTCCAAGAGCTTCTCTACCTATAATGGTTTCTCTTCCTGTGTTGTCTGGTCCTATTCTGGCGTTTATGTTTCCCATTAGTATTTTAATGTCACCAACTGGAGTAGTCTCTATTGTTGCCTCTAGTTTTCTGTAGAACTCTTCTTTCTTTTCGAGATCTGCGTTGTTTCCGGGTGCATAGCATTGTATAACTAACACTTTCCTTCCTTTGAAGTTGAAACTGGTGGTCATTATCCTGGTCGAGATTGACTCTCATTGTATCACGTCCTTCGCTGCCGTTGGTGACACCATGATAGCCACGCATTCGGTGTGATCACGGTTGTCATCTGGTTGACCAAAGGAGATCATTAGCTCTCCGGTCGACAATTCGGTAAGTCAATTTCCAATCCATCTGCTTTAGCATATTCCCAGTACGTGAATACCATATCTTTTCATCTCGTCTGCAATCTGGGCAGCTCTGTCAGTCTTATACAAGGTGCGGACGTGTAACAGACTTTTTCTTTTGTCTCAAGGAGACGCATCGTACTTAAGTTTCTGTAGTAGCTTTGTTTACTGCGAGGGGTTGCTAGCCTCACCCCTGAGAAGCAGGTTGTTACATATATATATAGTTTACAGTGGAGCAACTTTCAGGAAAACAAGGAACAAGCAATCAGAGCAACACCAGCAAAAGGAAGAAAATTTACAACAGGAAGAGCAGCGACAGCAACAAAATAAACCGTAGCAGGCAGTTCAACGAATGCGATTATTGACTGGTGAACCAAGCATTTCATACCGGTGAATGCTGAACGCAATAACGTTTCAACAAAAGTTAATGGACAACATAATAAGAAAATAGTTTTAATCTGTTTGATTCATGGAATAATAAACATACTAAGAAAGAACTGCTAGAGATTAAAAAAGATGTAGTGTAACTTTAGGAAACCATGAGAAAGGTATGTTTCGTTTTTACCTTCTGTAAAATACTGACGATTCCATACTTCTTATTGACTTCGGTGTTTTAACTGGCAGTCAAATATCTTTTAATTTTTTCTTATTGAGTTAAAAACTCTTTTACAACTCACAACATTTTCCAGCGTAACTATGAAGTTGAAAGTAATTGACCTTATGAAAAAGAGTGTTATTCAAATTTGCAATTAACTGGATGATAACAAGCAAAATTTGAAACCATGCAATTCATTTATTCCCTGCCTCATTAATGAATATCATAGGAGGAAATAAATGTGGGGAAAACTGTATTTAGGCCTTCAGTGTAACATTAAAGCATGTACCCTAGAAGCAAGACATATTTCTATAGAAGGATACTAATTCACTTGCGATATGGCACACATTCACTGAATTAAGACTTCCTGATAAACATTTTAAATGATGTTCATACTAGTCAGGTCACCATACTAGTCAATGATGATCCATGTTATTCAAATAAAAATAAAAGCATTTTTGGAGAGTTGATTAACGAATGTATACAGCTTTGTCACGGTAAGTATTAGTTTCGAACCACATCTGACAGAGTCTTGAGCCAATGAGTCATATAACCTCTTGATGCTGTGAGTTAACTAACTTACAGAAGTATTCTTTATCAGACGGATTCACGTCACGGAAAGAAGATTCCAATGATATGGGAACACTAAATATCATGGAATATATTCATCAAAAGTGTACACATCTCCAGTGTCGCGCACATCAATAAAATGAAGAATAATAATTACAAAATGCAGTTGCATATGACAGAGAAGTTTATTGAACAGGCATCATCCGCTACGAGGGACTCGTTCTAACACTGTAACATTATATATCCGCTTGTTTGATGGCCTGAAGAAATTCGTGAAAATGTACACAATGGATTTGTTACACCCTAGCTTTCTATATACAACATTAAATCGTATCCCCTACATCTCCAGTCAACACTGCAAAAAGTACCTTAATAGGCAAAATATTTGACTAACACTCACAGTTTATTTTAGAAAAGATTTCAAGCTATTATCTTCTATTAATCTCCCAGAAGCGTTTCGCAAACACCTGCAAGACACGTGACACAGGTATATTGAACACTAGCTAATTTACTTCGATGACTGGAGAGTAACTAGTGTCATGTGTCTAGTCCTTTGTTTACTGCTGACTGAATTCTGCCAGTTATATTTACAATGTGGCCAGGTGGCTGGCCAACACGGTCCACTCAGAACTGTTGTTATTAGTTTGCTGGAGGCAGTTGGCGAGATCCCTACCATGGTGGCCACATTTTAAATTTAACTGAGAGGATCCAGTTAGCAGTAAACAAGGGACTAAACACATAACACTAGTGAGTGTAGAACCAGAATATCTTGTACAGTCCTACAGGAGGTCAATCGCGAGCCCACATAGCTCAGTCGTAACGTTTGTGACTGCGGCATTGGGTGACGCGGGTTTGAATTTCAGGAATGACATAAGTTCCTTCAAGATTACACATATGCCTCGCTGACGAATAAAAAACAAGCACGAAACCTATGTCTAAGGATTCCCGCCGAGTGCTTTCAAACGTCTAATGACAACTGGCTTAGTGCAATTCAGTCAACGTTTGTGGTACCTGCATTCATAAACGGTCTTTCTTCAAGATTTTCTACGGCACTATAATGTAGATTCTTTAAAAATATCGATAAATTGTTGTCAGTAATCAAAATAGGTCTGTCACACCTAAACAATGTTGATTCCAAACAGTAGTAATAGGCTGTCAAGCACCCTTAAGCAAAGTAAGTTGTTTAACGTAAAGCTCTTAACTATTCTAAGTTAGTTGGGGTATACTGAGCCACGTTCCCAAAACTTCAAAACGACTCATTGATTTTCCCGCCAATCATTTTTCATTCGGTTTGTGGAGTATAATAATACCCAATACTTTTTTACAAGGTTGCTAATAAAAAGACACTCTCCTGATTATCACAGACATCAAATAAAATCGCAACAAATATTGGTAAAACGACTCACTAATTTCCGAGTGGTGGAATTCACTTAATTTGTCGCATCACAAACACTTTAATTACCTACACAACTATTTCATTATTTCCAAACATCTGAAATATATCCGGTATTTTGGCTTAATTTCATGCTTTAGCTTTCTCAAGTGAACTGGTGTTGACCATCTATCAGAAAATCGAGTTAATTGTTTGATATCTATAGAAGTTGTTAATTCTTATACTACATTCTTCACTGCATTATCAGTGACTGACTGTAAGGTGATCTATTCTGAAAGAAGCCTAAGTAACAGTTGATGGACAGAGCAACTTGGGAAAGTGTAGTTTTCGGTTAGAAAAAGATTGAGATGAAACAGGTCAGAACATTCTGGCGTGCAACTAGTAATTCTTCGCTGTCTATTCAAGTGAATCTTACTTGTACATTCCAATCATCACCTTGTCCAACCGTCAAACGCATTTTTCGAAGATGATCAGTTTGATGAATGCATTATTCTCAATTTTTCTGCACAAAATATGTTAATCCATAGACAGTGGTAGTGATAAAGTATTACTCCGATAGCACATGATAACTTAAATAGATCTAATCTCCTCACCCAATACAACAGATATCAGAGTAAATGAGGATCAAATGAAGCAGCTCAAGTTTAGGTCTGATGCTTGGTGTGACATTTAGACTCGTTTGAAAGGCATAATTAACCTACAGATACTTGGTGAACTCATACTGAACATACATTCTGAGCTACCACGACCAGAATTGATTGGAAGCACTTTCCCAGGAACTTGTAATGTTTTGAAATGCGGTATGCACAGAGTTTAATATGCTTTAAGTTGTCGGGTATATATGTCTAAAATGAAACACAAACGCTCTAGATGATACTTCTAAGCAAGATATATGGCCTGTTGTTATTAAACATCACCTTGTTGGGTAAGTTTGTAATAACACTTACTTAGAGACAAAAAATGGGGCAGAAGTGAGAGTATTTCATGAAAAAAGTAAGGTTTGATGAAACTTACAGTAAGGCTAATTTGAGAATGTTATGTGCAAGTGAAAATATGCAATATGAAAGTAGAGTAAAGACATTTTCACTGTAGTTTTCCAGTCATGACAACTTAGCAAAGTATAATACATCTCTAACATCTCAACTAAAGCTGATAGTTGTATTAGGCAGTCAGTCCCACAGGTCATGGAACGGAACTTCTAATCTGCAAATCAGAGAATGAATGCCAGAAGATACATTCTCATAGTTACTGACGATGGAAACAGAATCAAATTGTATCCGATATCAATTACATTCAGGCAACAAGAGCTCCGCAGTTATGATAGCTGCACGAAACTCTTACACACACAAAAGAAATTATATGAATTCACGACACTATAACAGATATCTTCAAAATCTGGCTTCCTGAGCCGGTTTACTTCTCTCACATGATTAGCTGAAACGATGCTACATGAAGCTCTTGGTACCTACAATTACACAAAGTAGTGTATAGTTAAATTATAAGTATACAGTCTTAATTAATAGGAGGACAATTATGAAACTGAAATAAGCATAAAATCATTCCACCGAAATAATTGAAGTCCCCATAAAATTTCAGTTACAACTTCATAGAGCATAATACTATAACTCCGAAAGAATTTCACTACGCTTATGATGAAAATGCGGAAAAAAATATTCTCTACAACATTTGGAGTTACACTGACTTGATGGTGAATAACAGTAAACCATTCCGTTTTTGTGAGCCATGTGTCTGTTAAATAAACATAAAGACCTGGCGAGAAACTATACAAATTACTTTTCTGTGCCTCAATAAATAGGTTTTACATTCATTGAATGGTGAATGTAAAAAATAAATTAAGAAGATATTTGTTAGAAAGTTACAGAAGGCTTTTGTAATCTGTGTTTTGAAAACGCACTCACTTTCTCACCACTTTCAGAAGCTCGAATATTTTCCAGTACTGTCAAGCACATTGATTTTCGGGAAGTGTTATTATTCATCCTCGCTCGTGAACTGTGAATAAAAAAGATAATAAAAATGTCTGCTTCAGTGAAATATAAACAACTGACGAACTTGGTATGATTAAATGAAAGGAACTCATTAACAAGATTTTTTTAGGATTTCATCATGAGCTGACATTAGTTAGAGAACCATTGGAAAACCTGGGAGTACTGGACAGCTGTTTCGTCCTAGTTTGGGACTCTTCAGCAGCAGCTCATGATGAAATCCTGAAATCAATCAAATCCCTACAAACCAACACTTGAAGATTTTTTTAGTTTGTCTATGTGAATTATTAAGTATGCATGAATGTATTTAATTCTCAATTTTGCATGGAAAATAGCCATATGCAGATATGGCAATGCAGTATTTTTGTCTGAACATTTTGATACAACACCATCTTTTACTTTTGTTTCATTTCAGTGTTTACACGGACCCATTTCTGTACCAAATGATACAAAATGAAGACACACATAAATACCTGGCTAGCATTGAAATTCATTAGTGTTACTATCTCTTTCTCCCTGTCTCTATGTTGACGAACCCCTCAAGTTACAACTGTCATTCTTATTCATAAAAACTATTTTTTTTTCAGAATTTTTACCTTCCACTTCTTTTTCTGGAAGGCTGTGACCAATTCATTAATAGACATGACCACCCAATGGACCTTACATTATTTGGCATACACATGGAGATGATGCCATGAAAAATTGTGCACAAAGTAACATGGCCTAAAAAAAAGTAGTTGTACAACTCAGAAGACTACAACGAATCATGCTAAATACATCAAAATCAATGTCTTAACTTACACTGCTGGTGAACCATTCACGATTTGTAACTGTTGAAAACAATATTAAAGATCACTATCAGTTTAGATGACTTAAAAACAGAATAATATAGGATAATATTGGTGAGCTATTCATAAAATAATAGATGTCCAGGCATATCAATTATTCGTGTCAGTTAGAACAATTTACTTCCAAAATGCATTTCATTCATGACAGTGGAATTCCTTACTTCCTATCAGTTTTATACATCAGTCTTTCACAGTATATAATCATTAGGCTTTTCCTCCTGGGTATACACAAGAATTAGATACAGATCAGTCGCTGAAAAAGCAAAACATTTTCACTTTTTAATTTATTATGCGTCTGTAAAATCCAATAGCAGAATTTTATAAATGTCTCTGACTATATAAGGCGTTTAAAAGAGACTGAAGCATACCACAACTGAAAAAGGCGTTTCATTATTGACCTAATGAAAACAATCCAATGCCAGAATGCTCGCGGTTAGGGTAAAATGATCACTTTTATTATAAAATGTAGTTCAAAAGATTAAAATTGTTCCAAATTAAGTAATGAAGATACCTGTTGGTCAACAGATGACTACTAGTCAAGCTTTATAATAAGTAGTTTAGTTTGATAACACCAACCGAAATATGTCATGAAAGCTATAGAGACAGAAATCGTATTTTTGATCAAGTTTGCAATTTCATTGAAATACATATTCAGAAAGGTACTTATCAACGTATTTAGTCTGTTAAAGTTTCATTCAGCTAAGGAATGCTCTCACATATCTTAAGCATTTCAATTCAACAATGGAATACTTTCTGAACTTATTATTGGGATTATTATTGTTCCCTTGGGTTCCTAGTGGAACATAGGGCTTCAACTGCACGTCTCCATTTGCTTCTGTCTTCTGCTGTACTTTTCACCTGCATCCATGTTAGTCCATACTGTTTCAACTGCTCTTCACACGATCTCCTTCATGTCATTCTTGGACGTCACACTCGCCGCCACTCGAGGGTCTGACGCGCGATGTTACCCAGCGGCCTCCTCAGTGAGTTTTCAATCCACCTCCACTTTATCCTGCATATTTGTTGAGCGATGGGCTCTTGTTTTGTTTGTTCCCATAGTTTCTTGTTAATGAACTTAATAGACTTAAATACCTTTGAAGTAATAAACAGGATTTGACCCGGTCACTTTAAATGAGTGAGGGCAAATCACCTATACAAGAGTATCCAAGAGTTAAAGGTGATGCTAAATCTAAAGAACATATGCATAATCTCTGTCTTTATTGCAACTATCAAAGTGAGTTGTTCTTTGATTTTGAAATGATCTACTGTTTCTGCTTAATATAATTTTGTCAAAAAAAGAATCAAGATATAGTTAGCTAATAGATGAGAACAGACACACGCCAATGACATCGTTGGCTATTGGTCGTGCTAAAATCGTGAACTGGTAGAAACTAGAACTGAGAGACCATTGAATCGACTCCAAGTGTCTGAGTTGTATACGAGCTTGACTTGTAACTGGAAGGTCCTGAGTTCGGACGACAGTGATTGCGTACTGCTGAGGAGTCCCGAGATGTGACTAAACACCCTCCTAGTTCTACCTGGTTTTAAATAGTTCCCTAAATGATATCAAACCACGAACAAAGCTTTAATGAATTAAATCTCCACAAACTAACTGAAGGAATAGTTAATGTGTGATATCTTCCTACATAATAAATGACCGGACAAGTTAACACATAATTATTCAAACTAAACACAAATTCTATTAAGTGCAATATGACACAAAACATTATACGACAAGATAGATAGAACACTCAAAGGTGGAACTAAAAACAAATTTAAACTTACCGGTTTATTTAAAGATGAACGGCGGTCCCCATCTATCACCAGAATATTAGGTCTTGATTTAGTAGTAGGACTAGTGTTAGATTGCGATAATCTCTGGGCAAACAACTTGTCATCTGTCAAAGACCGCTTGTTACCCATTTCTATAAGAGAAATAAAATGTAGTAAGTGAAAAGTTTATCACCTGTTGAAGTTGGGCTGACACAAAAGTCACCAGATATCGTTGTATTACATCCTTCGGTATCCACATCACAAAGCACTTTGAGATGAAGTCCAACTAATGTACGCGCTAAAAAAGAGTAAACGCGTATTCGGCCTTCACGCCATATCCAGCTAACCGTTTGAGATTTTGTCCTCACAATCAATGGTCTTTCTGCAAAAGCAAGATTTAAAACATTTTATGATTATTGTGAATATAATTAAGACTACTGATTGACAATATAAATTATATTATGGAAAGTGAATGTAACTACTGGGGAACTGAGGCAAAACTTTTCTTTATAGTCCTCATGTTTATTTATTTCACACATGTTTTATTTCCCTAAAAACGTTAATTTCTCTCCTAAAGGTTTCACTTTAAAGTCCTTGATAAAATTTTCTAGCCAAAAAAGCCCGGTCCCGACATGTCTATTAAACATAGCTTGTTGTCCTGATAAATGCAAAGTTATACTTTGCTTCACTTCACTCCTTGCTAATCTATGTAACTAACTGTGTCCCTCAGTTTTGGATATTGGTTAGATTATTTAAGTGATATGTAGAGTTATGCCCTTCTAGAAGAACCATAACGATAATCAGTTCAAAAAACAAATAACAGGCAGAAGATGCAACTAATACTCGAAACTGAACTAAGTAGATAACGAAACTACAGATAAAATTAATAAAGCAAGTAAAATGTGTGACAACTCTGTCTTACATTGACAGAAGAAACTAAATTATACTAGATTCCCATTTCAGAAGATGATGACCTTAGTGATATGAAAGTTAATAACTATTCAGTCTGAGTTAAGATATTAACCAATTACACTTCCTCAACATAAAGGCTTCATTCAGAATAACCAGCAAGATATTTTGAGGTGGTGCATTATTTGTTTCACTTTCGGGCAAAGTTTTACAATAAATATTCAGTTAACATTAGATTAGGTATAACTTTCTCATGTGTTTAAACCTAAATGTTTTAATTCTGTTCTGTAACTGCAGGTGAAATAATGTAAAATTTCTCGTATTCATTGATTTTATTTGTTACCTGAACGAATGAACAACACTGAGTAACTGGGATAAAAATTCACTACAAGTAAATGGAGTACTACTCAAAGATATCCTGCTTCTAAAACGTGCTTCATATTGCAAGTTTCTTATTTTCAAATTCCTCCTCGTAGTTTAACTGCATTCTAGATTATCCAAGTATTAACTAGGCGAAATGTAGATAATTATTAGAAGGAAAAAAATTATCTTACTAATGACCATGTAAGTAAAATATTTTATCTATTTTGGTTGCATTACTGGAAACCAGTGTGTTGATCAACAGCATTCAACACAACAAACCACATCTGAATTTTTTAAACTAATGCCAAGTCATTGCTTCTGAATGGATCAGACACTTAATTCACGTGACCTGGAAAGTATTGACGACAGGCTACTGTAGATTTTCATCAATATCTACATATGAGGATACTGAAGCCATCCGGGATCGGATCGGATCGGATAGGCAATACATGTGTTCTTCACTCTGAAATTAGCGTGGATATCTGCAGCACTCAGCATAAAAGACAAATTCAGAATTTTTAACACTAGCCTGAGGTCACTGCTTCTATATGGTTCAGGAACTTGTCTATTGCATTACGGAAAGCATCGACAATAGGCTAGTGCAGATCTCCATCAACACCTACTTCCTCTGGCTCAATAATGAAAATCAGGTGACCGATCAGAAATAGTAAGGAACAAGAAAATTCGGCAGTGCAGCGAAACATTGGGCAATAAACTATTGCCCATCAAATATACAGAAAGAAGAGGAAATACTCTGAGAAGACTGTTAGGTGACATCAGAACCAGGCGCTCGAAGGGGACCCAAGTGGAAAGTAACGAGTTGGGTATCCGAGTCATACATGAAGCAGATCATATGAGAAAGAAGCAAAAGGGTACAGGCAAATATAGGGGCAGTTAAAAGAGACGCCAAAGATTAGAGTAAAATGGAGATATGCTGTTGAAAACCTACGCTTCACCCAAATTCCAAGGGACGAATAAAGACGATATTGAAAGCTTATACTGAATCGAAGAGCAACCAGTGTTTTAATGTATTACATTTAAATTTCACAAATACTGTTCATCAGAAACTACCTCAAATTCTTCATCATACTTAACTTCCATGAGACTTGTGATATTCTAATGAAATTCTTATTTAACTGGTTTTTTCCCTGAAATATTCTGAAATACACTAGTTAAAGCAATTAAATTACCTACCTTTCGTATTCCCTGAAGTCTTTTCAGTTTCACTCACACTTGGCGCTGATTTGGGAATCGGAGACGTCACAAGTTCTTGTCTAACCTGCCAGTTCTCTAACACTTTGTTCATTAAATAGCGGAGACGATTAGTATTTTTTGAAGCACTAATGACTTGTACAAAAAGACATGTGACAGATTAGAAATGTAATATTAAATAGTTTATGCAGCATAGCACCTAATACAATTAAATTCCGAATCAAATCTGACTAAAACATAAAGGCTTCAGAAATAACTGCAATACGTCACTTAACTTAGCCGCCACACTGAACTCTTGATGGCTGAAAATTAGTAGACCCTAAAGACTGCACTCTTATAATGACCTAATCTGGAAGGTGATTAGTTCCAATTTGTTGTTTTTTGGAAATTAAATGTTCAGTTGCAAACAGCCATAGGTGAAGTAAATACGATCAGGAGAAAAGTATACATACTCATTTTAGAGGGAACTTTCCATACAGGAATTTTTCAGTTTAAGCTGTTTGTATGGGACACTTCAAGGAAGACTGTAAAATCACCAGACAAATGAATTACACTAATTGCAAAGTGACGGTAATTTTGAAGAAAAATCTTATACTTTCACATACTTATGAAATTACAAGTGTGATATGACAAATGTTGCTCTCTAAAATGTAGCATCCATGTAATTCATGCTGATGGCTTTCATCGCTTATTCTCAAGTCCCCAAGCACTGGATGAATACCACAAGCCGCAACTCGAAATCTTATCCTATCGACCATGACTTAGAACCCATGTAAAACTAATATGGATGTAAGAGAGTGACAAGAATGATATCTTTAGCCTCAAAGAAAATACATCTACGTTTCGGTCTTCAGCAGAACATAAATCTAGTTAGCTGAATTCATTATAAATTATTTAAATTAATCCAAGCGGTCTGGAAACCTATAGTTAGTTGGAACCGGTTTTTCTATTTGCCAGTTTTTAAGCCACATATATTCCATATAGGCTGTTGGTGCTATCCAGTTGGCCAGGCTAAGGTAGGTGTAGTAGGACATTCACACATGACTAAATGACTGAAAGTCGAGTGTTTAAGCCACTAATTCACTTCTTGACAGGAACACAAATACATTCAGTATTCCAGATAATGTTGGATTTTCGATGTCACTAAATGATAGATAAGCGTGTAATTTTGTTTTCAATAAAATTTTTGACGGCTTTACTCTGACACACATCACGGTACAGATTAATATTTAATATAAACGAAACACTTTGACTTCAGAATGATAAGGTGGATGTGAATTTCACGGTCAGAGTCAATTATATATATATATATATATATATATATATATATATATATATATATATATATATATATATATATATATATATATATATACGGTGGCTCTGTTTCAGGCTTTTCCATGGACATATTGCGTATTTATTATTTTTTCTGAACCGATTCACTGACCCACACGAAGACATGAAATATTTGTGAAATATGAGGAGTGTCTTGAAGGACTAAATAAAGTTGTTTTAAGAGTGCTGTGTAGAGTTCAATGCAGGCTTTAGCAATACGACTATATGACTGCATTAAAAGCTCATCGTTTTACTTTATGGGCGTATATATTTTCTGTACCAGTAAGAAATTGGATCTATAACTTCAAATTAAAAACCAATGAAAAAAACACTTTTCTGAATTTAAAATATACTTAGAATTCTCTCCTCTCTTTCTTTATGAAATGATATTACACGGAGATAAACGGATGTAAGTAGCAAGTGAAAGCAAAAAGTGTTAATATTCGTTAACAAGTCTTTCGAAAAATATTAATTGTACTTGAAAACAATGGAAACTCCAACAAAATGACTTGCTTTTATGAAACTTACATAAGGTTAGGAATAAATTACATGCACTAGTACGAACATTTTCAGATGAATGGCTTAGATAGAAGTCGGCTAGGCTGTTCTGTAAACTTCCAGTATTTGGAGGCAGGTTATTTTCGCCAACTTTCTGAATGAATAAAAACGAACGTTTTGATCAAACTCACCAACAAAAAGTGAAAGATCAAACATACATTCTATTCAAGTGTTGCTTTACAGGGGCTTGATTGGTTTCAGGATTTCACTATGAACTAACATAGGTTAGAGGAGCATTGGGAAACCTGGCAGTAGTGGACAGCTGTTTCGTACTTGCCCGGGACTGTTCACCGGTACGCACCCACTGAGGTTGGAACCCAGCACCTCCTGGCTACAAGACAAGCTCTCAGACGATTCAGCTACTGGGACCCAATCCAATTGTCCGTGAATTCTAACTTCTGCCAATTCATGATATGACGTGACCACTGGCGAATGTCATCGGCGAGTATTTGTCCTCACACATGACTTGCTGGACCCCACTATTGATGACTTCCCACTAGAACCCAGGTAACTGCCTACTTGAATAGGGAGAGTTACTAGTGAGCATCAGATTGATATTCAAGTGTCGGTTTGCAGGGATTTAACTTTATAGACAAATTTTTAGTCTTAATATTATTATTCCATTGGATTCCAAGTGGAACAGTAGCACAGTGCCACATAACCACAGCATTACAACATACATACCTTCATCACATGAAGGTATTCACATAAATTTGCAACTTTCAGAATATAAGGCAGAAACTCAACAGTTAATTTGTGCCCACGGAAATAATACCTATTAGGATTAAGAGTGAATCAGATCTAATGTTGGAGATTTGAAAAATAATGTTTTTCTCAGAGTAAACGGTGAAGTAAATGTGGAAATCTAAAAATGATTACTCAGTCTTATTTAATCTACACTGCTTTTGAAGCGCTAGAATGTAAATTGAGATTCAACGATTTTACAAACGGTATACTAGTTGGTGTTGAAATTAAAGAAAATTAAGGAACTGTAGACAGCGTTTTACCATTCATTTTCAATGCTATCACTGCTTTATACTTTTTACGGAAAATAACAGTATTGCGTCAATATGCATAAGGTGATAGTAAAACCATAAGGCGGTTTAACCAGTGATCTCAGTTACTTTTCATTTAATAACCTTCAAAAGAGTATAAAATAATGGGGTTAGGCAAAACTTAGCAATTTGACCAGGCGAAACGTCTACCATAGTCTAAATTCATTTAAATTTCCAGTATGATAGCAGTTGTGTAGTTTAACTTCTACATAAAACAAGTTCCAATATTCAACTAAGTCCTAACTGTCTGTAGTGTCAGAACGTAAGGATTTTGATAAAAATTACCACAAAAGAAACCACGAAAGATCAGTAAAACGTACTTTGATCAGATGTCGACAGAGGTCTAGCAGAGTCTCACAGTATTTAGGACTGCTTTTCCAGCTCTCTAATTTTGAAGGCTTTAGGCAGTTAACAAACAAAAACAATTTTGACATAAGAATAGAACTTGTGCACTGTGGTAGAGTATAATTCTACTGTGGGAAAAATTTTATCTTGATAAAGTCTCACAGTAATATTCAGTAGTATTTACTGATGACGTTATTGCTCATAATCATCTTATCAGTAAATATTACCGTATAACGCTGTCAGATTTTATCAATATAAATTTTACCCACAATGGAAAAACAATTTTGACATTAAATTTCTACCCATAATGTAAAACAGAGTATTACAGTAACAGATTCATTACTCTACACAATGAAAGGGAAAGGAAATAAATTATCAAGCTTCATTTAGACGCAACTACTCTTACCTCCACCTTCATCAGGCACTTTTTCGGAAATGCACAATAAATCAGTAACAGATCTTGAACAAGGTTTCTCCATGTACATTACAATATTTCGTTTATTTGTTCACCATTTGCTTACAATAAACGCTACAGATAGAGTTGTGAGAAAGAAATTTGTGAATCGCTGCTTCAAGTCGATCTATGGTTCGAAATCCATCCAAACAACAAGTAATTAATGCCTTTCTGATGAACTCGTTCAGTCAATCTCCATTTCTTTAAGTATCACTGGTCAGTAATGTATGATTTTGTGCATTTATGGCTTCTTTTGGTCTAGACACCTATAATTATTTTATAACATTACACTTATTTGGTTTACGTCACTTAATGAAGTCTCATAACACCATTGATAGACCCAACTTTTTTACCCAACATTCTACACATAACTTAACCATGCTGCTCGGATTAACATCAGCAATTTAAAGAAGGTACTTTAGAACAGAATTTTTCTGTCCCCTTATATCTCTAATTTTTAATGTTTACTTCCCATAGTCATAAGGCGTCGGTGGCATAGCGGTTAGGACGCCCGCCGACCATGCACGTGGTCCGGGGTTCGATCCCCGGCCACTGGTGCACTCCTTTACCTCGCTAAGCCAGAAATAATGCTAGTAAAGAGGAAAGGTTGGGCATGAGACTAGCGACCCCATCCTGTAAAAATTAAACACTCCTACAGAAACTAGTCACTAGCTTGGGGCCCTATGTTCCACTGGGAACGTGAAGGAAAAAAAATTTCCCATAGTCACAAATTAGCTAAAGAAAAAGTGGTTTAGAACATTCACACATTGACAGGTAGACTCATATATCCCTCTGGCACCAGAAATGACGTTAGTTGGAAAGCGCTCTTTCAACCTTGTGTTCATGCTGAGATTACTTCAGTGACCAATGCAGTAGGTCACAATAATGCTACCTACAAGAAACGTGACAAATTCTTATGGAGTGTACAAATGAAATTCCTTCCAACTAGAGAAGCTGGAGCAATTCATATTCTATAAATTGAACTCAATCAAAAAGAGTATAGTTCATTTTTTGAATGTTATGACATTCAAGTAAACATTCACTTTCGGGGATTCTTTTACTTCTGTAACTGTACTATTAAATCTTTTCTTATCCTATTTCTATCATACGGTCCTAATTTCTCATAGTCCCATTGGTTCTTTTCAGTATATTACATCAACCTAGTTACAAGATTAATCTCGCTTTAATTTTTACAAGGTCTTCATGCATTTGGTGGAACTATTATATATATATATATATATATATATATATATATATATATATATATATATATATATATATATATATATATAATGACTGCATTGACATCACGGTGTCATTTAATTTCATAGGCCACTTCACTCGACATTTTCCTGATAAAGTAATAGCTGAAATGCACATCTTTACATATGTAGATATAAATGAAAAATGAAGACAACGATGTTATGCTGTAAGTCAGTCGTAGTTACTTAAGTCACATAAACCTATTCTGTAAGCCTTTATTCGATGTTATCCAAAACTTATGTGGGGAAGATGTAAGCTATAACTTTAGCCTCAGCAACATACTAAGTGTATAAAATCTCTTACACATTGTGAATAATCACCTGGACGTATAAACGCGAAGTGGTGACAAAAACCATCATTTTGCAAAAATTTATTTTTTAAATAAAAATCAACCCTCATCAAATTGATTCAGCTGATCATAAAGAAGGAAAGAAAGATATGGTGAATGGTTTTATGCTTAAATGGAACTTACTGTATTTTCTTGACTAGATATATGCTGTGCACCAGCACTCATGCATAATTCTTTCACAATCTGATCGACATTTTCTTTGAGTAACTAACACAGTACACAAAAGATATTAACAATATTCACAATCATTAAAAACATAATAATAAGATCGATTATAATAATCAGTTTAACCATAAACCATTAGCACTATTTGTTGTCACAGTCTCACATGCTTCCTTCAAATGGTTGTTTATTAAAGTCTGGAAGAAGCAGTCAACAAACCAGCACTGAGGGTCAAAGGACATAGAATAAATGGACTCGAGCAGAGTCAAGCAATGTGTGATACTAACCGAATATGTTACAGTTTGCAAGACGATGAAGTGAGGGATGTCTAGTGTAAAAAAGTAACTGTATCTTAAGGTGAGACAAAATCTGTATAACAACGAAGGATCCGTGTATGTGTACAGATTACAAACGATATTTCAAGTCCTCACCTAAATCATGCTCAATTTGGTTATAATCATTTGAGAGACGTGGTTCAAAAAGCCTATAAATCAATAGGCAGTTCAGACCATAAGAAAGGAGCTGAATGGAATTGGGTCGGCCATTAGTATACTTGCCTAGATAATATGAATTCTTATCAGAATTTTCAAAAAAGCATATTTGAATACTTTCATTATGTCATTCAAGCCCTATCACAAAATATTGTGAAACTGCCATGTGATTTTCAGAATGCTATTTTGAAGATATGAAAATGGAAGAATTTAGAACCTCTTTTCAACTGTTAACGTGCTTATCAAAATGGTTGTGCACAATTCACAAAAGCACTTGCAGGAAACGTCTCTCATACTTTGAAAAAATTTTATTTCAAAATGGACTAAGTACGCATTCAAAAGACTGAAAGTAGGATTGCGAATTGTTGTCCAAGATTTGCCTCTGACTTGCACACAATATATTCGGAAGCATATGAACTTAGAGTCTAATATTAACAGAAATGTGAACCTTCAAAAAGTAAACACATAAAATAGGAGTTTCAACCTACCTCGTATCTACATCGGTTGAGGCACGTCAGATACACTCGAACTGCAGCTTTACGGACATGGAGGTAATCACTGTTAAAAAGGTTAAAAGTAATTGTACGTATTCGTGGGAACAACTGGCTTTGGACGAAATCCTAAATGAAATACAAAATGAAAATTTGAGTGAAATAACAACTAGTTAACAAAATAATATCTGTTGAATGAAATCATAAATCGGTATTGTGACATAATTTCTGATAACCCTTTTAAATATTATGATATCCAACAAAATAAACTTTATTTGCTTACCGATGAATACTGGCAGACCGAAGGTTCGACTTTGACGCACCTTCCATCTCCATATTTGATGAATTTATGGGAGGCAGTTGTTCGCTAGGTAACAGCCGTTTTAACAAAAGGGTGAGCACTGAAGACAAAAAACCCTTATTTCTGTATTAAAAGTATTATAAAAATATTTACATATAAAGAATTTTTGAAACTGGCATGCAATGATCAACAAATTATTTGGGAACATTTGTTAAAATAAAGAATATACAGGAAGAAAACTATTGACTGCTACAAAGAGATACATAAAAACGTCAAACGTTTCTAATCGCTTGTTTTCAAACTATCGTGCGGATTGAATGGAATCTTTCATAGAGTTGTTTAGTAATGCCAAGACTTTGTGACCCACTGAGACAAATAGCTATCGTGTTAATGTTTAATAATATAAGATGCTTCCTGTATGGTCTTAGTTTAATGATTTTATCTTATTTATCTTACTGATATTTAAACCATTTTATCACTTAAATGTTTACCGGTAGACAATAAGATGCATAATAGCACCATACTCGTTTGTTCTACTTAATTAAACTACAATGCTTATCATAACGATATGATCTAAAATAGTAAGCGGAGTTTTTCCTGCTGTTATGTACACTTGTTCAATCGATCACTACAGGAGATTAGCATATAAGAGATGTTTGATATTACCCCTAAATTTACTAATCATATAAGTTGTATCTGTAAGTGTTGAGATTATCAAGTAAGACAGAGCTCAAAATAGTAAAAGTACTCTATCTCTCTATGATGCAGACTAATAATGCTGCGATACCTGATATAAGGCAGTATTCGTACTGAGGCTGCACAGATCGTTTTTCGTAGGCATCCATCTTTTGAAAACACCATCACTCACCTGGGATGCATGTATCTGACAAGGCCCAATTGGGTGAAACATACAGTCTGAATTTCACTGATAACACCAGTTAACTTGAACTATGAAGTAAATCATATAAATTCTCTGGGATAATCAACTTAGTACTTATAACTCTGCACAAACATCACTTCATGATGAAAAATTCGTAGAGCACATTACATAAGGCCACAGAAGTATATTAGAGGATTTCATCGTGAGCTGACATCAGTTGCAGAACCACTGGAAAACCAGCTAAGAGTACTGGACATCTGTTTTGTCCTAGTTTGGGACTCCACCACTAGAGTTCGAAACCTGGACCTTATGGTTGCAAGGCGAGCTCCTAAACCATTAAGTCACTAGGACCAGATCCAATTGTCCATGAATCTTAACTTCTGCCAATTCATGACATAGCGTGACCACTTAGTGGTGTCTTTGATGAGTAACTGTCCTCATGGTGACGAGTAGGGTTCAGCAGGTCGAACTCTGGCGGTGGCTGGTTAATGATCAAGAGTCCCAAACTAGGACCGAACAGATTTCCAACACTGTTAGCTGGTTTCTTAATCGTATTCTAAGTGATGTCAGCTCACGGTGAAATCCTTGAACCAATCAAACAAAAATCACTACAAACCAATAAAATAAAATATGTGTTTGAAAGAACAGTTGAATGAGTGCGAATTGTATAAGAGACCTTCGAGACTGTAAAAAGTTAACATGATATTAGATACAGAACACTGGGAAAAATGTTATTTGCAACACAAAATCGAGATAGGTAGTAGTGCTGAGAACACAAGTTAGAAATGATTTTAAAGCCTTAGAAATAGTGAGACATAAGGAAACAAGACGAATATCATGAGACAATAGGAAAAACACGTATCAGAAATGTTTTTCCATAGCTTTGTCAATGAAATAGAACAAATAGCTAGAGTAGGTCTAGACTATTCATAACAATGATCTTAGAAAAATAAGAAGAATATGAGCATTATCTGGAAGAAACTAACTATGACATGTCAATGAGAAACGTAGCAATGAAGTGCATCACCTCAGTTTTATAAACACAGAAATAGCGTTTACCAAAGGGGAATGTGTTAAAAATATGCTGTAATAGATAAACAACAGTATGAAGAAAGAATCACTTTAAGCATTGCAAAGATGATAAACAGTGAATACATCTAAGCAGCTGTAGACGGCTTACAGTAATATCGGTAAGTCCTCAGTCTCAGAATAATGGTTAGTGTGCTCATCGACCAGTGGCAGGTCGTTACATTTCAACTCGTCTTCAGATAATCCTGCTCTTCGACGAAGACAGGAACTAATAATATTCAAAAAATGTCCCGAACACCACAACTGATGAAGATTTTCAAAATGACACAAACACTGAAATATCTGATTAACATGCACTTCTTTTTATAATTTAGTTTTAATTTCTATGTTGTCCCACATAATATAAACGGCTGGATAAAAATACTTGTGGTTTAAAAGCTGTGACATTTTTTCCGTGTCTTCTACTCTCACTGACCGGAACTCATATCTGTAGAACTCAAAAAGCGAAGTTATGTGCAGTATGCACTCCGCTTTATGATTAAGTGCACTAGGAATAGAACATTTCTACATATAAATAACAATCTTTTCTCATATATGATGAGGATTTGTCAGTAACCAGTCCATCAACGTGAACTAAACTTCTTCATTTATCGGAGCGGTTAAATAACTCAGCAAATTCTCTTCTTATTCATAAACTGGAAGTTGGAACAGATCTGTTTATGGTGGTGTGATACAGACAATGTGTTCCAACAGAATATTATTCTCACGTATTCTCACAGTTTAATACTGCGTTAACAACAGTTGATACCTTGGCTACCCTGTCTTGCTTGTTGCTGTTACATGTTTAGTAACATGGTCTTATAATTAATTGTACAAAGGTGCCTATCAACCATAGTTAAAATTTTGTCAATTTATGGTGAAATGGTTACATAGACTTCATATTGTGTGTCTCCGATGAACATACCAATTAGTGTACTTAGAGATAGTCTAACAGTCACTGTTTGAGGCGATTCTGACTGTAATCAGAACTACAATATCTGTCTAAATCAAAAAACCAAGTATAATTTTGGGAAGAGATACTTTCTACAACTGATTTATTGGAACCTACAGAGAAATGCTAGTCTTACTGTAGAGCTGCTTGGTTATCCGAAAATTATTTTTAATGTTGACAACACAATGGCCATTAGGCGAAACCTATAACTGAAAAAATGTCTTGAGTTCATTGGTACTTAGGAAACGTTGTACTGCCACAAATGCTAGTAGACACACAAAAAATTCATTTCCGCGAAAAACGGCAGGGGCTGTTGAGTACGCCAGGTATGGATCTCACCCCAGTCTTCTGAGTCACTGGTTAATTATTAGGACTAACCATAAATCCCTACAATGGTTAAGAAAAGCATGACATCTATTTGTAAAGTCATCGTGATGAACGTTACACATGCAAGAATATTATTGAGCAGTTACCCACCGCTCAATGAAAAAGTATGTAGTTGCAAACTGCGTATCGATGCTACATGCCGCAGATACTGTGCACAGCCTCACTACAGTCAAATCGAAACTGATAACATTGGTTCACTAACAGAATAAAGAGACAATAAGGAACCTACAGCAACTAAGACCCCACGGAGAAAGATAGTTTTGCAACACATTTCTACAAAATCTATTTCGGCTGCTTGTAAATATCTAAGACAGCAAACAATATGTGACTGTCGACAGCTGATATAAGCAGGATTTACAACAAAAACTACTTCTCTTCAGCAGCATGAAGGCTTTCCAGTTATATAATCCAATGTAAACAAATAATAACCTATTTATTAATAGTGTCAACCAACCAAACTTAATGGATGCATGAGACCGTCATTGTAATCGATTACTATGAGCAAACATAACAGACCTATTTCTTGGTTTATCCACTACTTGTTGATAATATCTACCACCTAAGAATCAATTACCTGACAGAACAGAATAACCACACGCTGCAAAAACCAAAGGAGGTGAGTGAGAAACGTTTTTGCTACTGTGTTATGTGCGACTCAATCTCACTATCTTATATACAGGTGACTTTGATCAGAGTTTGAGATGAAGGCATGACACAGGAAGTTTAGGAAGTAGGTGAAGAAGAATAGCTATCCGTCGGTCAGGATTTTAGAAGAAGAAACAAAAAAGCACCTATTAAAAACATAAAGACCAAGAATATGATTTATAGTCTACACGAAAAGTCATACTGGAATGCTGAACAAGAATTTTATCTTTAGATTCTGACCTTATTGCACCTCTGTACTGTTTTACTACTACCTATTGCCATTACCCTAGCAAACATCATTCACAGTATGTAGCACCAAATTCTAAATTTTGGACAAACTCAGTGCTGGTTATATATATTAAGTTGATTACTTTACAAATGTGAGATTTAAACTAAAACAATTTACAAGTCGCTTAACATTCTTACTGTCTAAAGCACCTTCAGACGATTCATTAGCACACATTTCTGGTTTCTCAAATACCTGTAAGTGAAAAAGTACAAAAAAGCGGTTAATAGACAACTGTCAAATAATACCCAAAACTTTATTTCCATTGTGCTGTCAATCTTTATGGTGCATAATAAAGAAGACTGTTATTATTTTTGAATGTAAAATCTTATCATCAAATATTCACGTGCACTATATCATAATTTTTATCCTCTGGATTTCGAGAGGAACATTGTGTCTCAGCAGCACACCTCAATTTCATTATATTTTCTGGTTGTCCACAAGCTCTTATTTCCTCTTCACATGATCACGTGCATAGTCAACACCTATTATCTGGACGCATCACCGATGATCATGAGTTGCTCAGATATAATTACGAATTCAAGCCAGAGTGTGTGGCTATGCTGAGAAAGAATCAGAAAGCTAGTTCAAAATATATCAATTATATCCAGGTTTCCCATTTCTGATCCATTCTAAAACATCGTATTCCATGTCGAGCAATATCATATGACAAAAGGTACGAGTGGTTCAATCAAAACATAAAAATCAATATATAAAAATGTCGACTGTTGCCAATATAGGAGGGTATAATCATAAATTTCTTGATTAGTTTATTGGTGAAAGGACTCTGAATCGTTCTTTGTGTCACAGATACATCTATTCTTACTTATCTCCTACTTCCATTAGATTTTAATTTTTCCTCTGCAAGAAGTGTTTCTTGTACAGTTCTTATTATTGCAGTGTCTTCACATTTGCTTCACTTTTGTTCCCTACCCTTATGCGTACTTTTATGAGATGTGGCACCTTGAACCAATGTATGTTTGTGCAAACTCCTACTCTGAGATTTCAGTTCAGTTACGTACATTTAAACTGTACCCCCACCACCACTCCTTATTTGTTAAAATAATCATTATTCACAATAAGTGTGAAATAAACATGGTATGGAAATAAAAACTGTGATGTAATACTAAAAAATCAAGTTGAATATGTGATGGTGCGAAGTAAAGAAAGAAAAAATAAAATCGATTTGATGCACTGTGTAACTATTTCTGAGTTGAATATTTCAACACAATGATTAAACTGACTCTCATTGAGTTCTACTTTTTTTTAATTCCAATGTACTCTCATCACTTCGATGAAAAAATACTTTTTTTAGATTTACTACATCGGTGTTCACTGGCAAGTTATACACATCTGAAATCTGAAAACATTCGTCTATTTTTGAAGACAGTATTGTTTTGATTTATGCCATGCATCAATTTATTATCACGAAATGAATGCTACAATCTGTTCCTGTCCTTGAAATGTATTTTAACATTTTCAAAGAAAAGCCAACACCATTTCACTTAGGAACACAAATGTGCTTTACTACTGAACCATCGATCAAAGAGGTCTCTCTCTGTGCCTATCTATCGCATTTTAGAAAGTGAACACTCATATACATTTTTAAATAATTCACTACTTTTTATTTTCATTTGTGTAACGAGATTTCTACACTACACATTCACATTCCATTGATTTCATTTGTTTATAAGCTTAATTAACAATATTGATATAATTCTCAGTAGACTTTCAATGATTATTATGATTACATTATTACTGTTATCATTATCATCAGTAGTCTAAGTAATAGTAGTTGTTGTAATAGAAGCCTCAGTATTGTATTTATTTATTATTGCTTAAATGACCTTAATTCAATAATTTTATGGATTTCAGAGTATCTGAAGTTAGTGAAAAGACAACTGCAGACCAGTGTTTGTTGTATTCGCTTAAACAATATGGGTGAAAACAATGATAACTATCGTCACATGATCATCGTAATTACAATTATTTCTTCTGTGATGATTTGATCTTTGTATTAAATGAAAACAAGAAAAGTGAATCGATTTGTCAGGTATATACGTAATCCAAGTTATAGATTGCTTGACAGAAAGATACATGTTTATTATGCTTCATTACTGCAAACGCATCAATTATCGATGTTGTTATAAATATTGAAGGTCATGTTAATTGCAATTCTACAACTTTCGTTATCTACATTTTTGAAGGAAAGACAGCACTCTTAATACTGACATTCAGAGAACACAACAACTATGATGTATGCCATATATCTATAAGCCTTTCTCTCGTATACACTGCTTAACGCAGATTAACTTTTGACTAGAACATTTCTCTCGTCTGTTGTAAAACAACCGAAATCCATAAAAGTATCGGGTATATTTTTAAAAAAACGAAATCATTAAAAAGACATGGGACAAGGAATAATTATACGGAGCATGAAACATCTTTAATTTCTTAAATTTTAAACACCTGCAGTTTATTTTACATATAATACATAAATTAATTTAGACATAATTTAGACCAGCTTATGGTAACAAAAATCAAAAATACTCCCGATAACTCAAACTAGGGTGAATACTATATACAAATCTTTTGTAACTTTGTTACTAAGGTACCCATTATGTTGTAAGCATAGTTAAAAGAAAGACTATTTACTTCAAACAAGAAAAACAAACATTTATTCATTTGTTTATATAAAATTCACATTGATTTACCATAGTTACACTTAGAGATGACATCAACAGTAGCGAAAACGATGTCATATGTCCAACTTAAAGTACAGTTTAATAACTCAAAAATATTTTCATTTATTTCCTCAGGCTTTTGACTGAATGCATTAAGATAATTCAATTCCCCAAAAGCCGAAACCTGACACTTTATCGTCTTGGGACAAACGTTTAGTTTCTTTCCACTTTCATGCATCACTGGTCTTCATTTTTCCTTTAAATGTCCCAATAAGTGACTGAAATAAACGTCCAGGGTGTACCGATCACCGATATACTGTAATTAGCTCAAAAAAATATTTGTAATTAACCTCCTTCATCACTATTCCTTTTTTCAGAATACACTGCATATCCACTCTGCTGTTGCTGTATCATGCACACTTACCCACATATCATTTCACTTTGTCTTCAGTGAAAAGTATGTGAAAAGGCTGAGTCCTTCATGATAGCATACTTGATGGTAGTGATTATTCATAAATTTATTTTAAAGAATCATCTGCTTTTGGCTAGCATTAATTTCTGACATCGAAAGATGTGTGTATACTTCACTTGGTGACCACCAGTATCAAGCCAGTGATAGATTCAGTTATTTTAATACAGGTAGTCAAGGGATTAGATGTTACATGATTGGTAACCTACATGTTTCCACACTGTGAGGTTGCTCATGTAAATTCTTCAGCTTAGACACAGAAAAGCAGCTCAGAAGATCGTGTGTACACATTGCGGAAATGAAAGTCAAGTTTTTATTTGGGAAGAATTGAATAAGCAATAACACAGGCATAACAGCCATACGTATCGGAGAAAACTTAACGTTGTGTCCGACTAACAATAAAAAAGAGGAGAATGAAATTTAATAATATGCAGTCAAAAATAGCTTGCATATCCTTTCAGTCTCAGCCAGACTGACAAATGTAAGGAAACTGATCCTGGCGGATTACCAGAATGATGATGAAGAGAGGAAACTACTGAGATGAAACTGATTAAAAGTCATTGTAATAAAGACGAGCACTGGAAAAAATACCGAAAAATAAAGAAGTGTGAAGATTTTAGCACCAGGTGATTTCAGTCGGTCAGAAAGCCTACAATCGCCTGTCGTACAATCTTAGACTAAAATTGACAACCCAACCCTACTAGAGGTCACAAAAACTATTTCTAATCCAAGTCGAGGAGAAGCAAGTCCTGTTGTTTTGTCTTCTGTGGTATTAATAATGATGTGATAGATAGTCGACCAGATTAATCAGATAGTAGTCAGTGCGTTGAAACCAAATTTGATACACCCATAAAAAAATAATTATGTGATAAACCCAGACTTGCAATCCTATGAGCATAGTATTTACTATACAGGGGTGCATGTCATGAACGAAAGTCAAGAAAATGAATAGGACAGTATATGGTAGGTTTCAGGCCTGGTTCAGGACTTATTACTGTAACTATTATTTGTTCCTTGGATTCCATGTGGAACACATGACTGCAGCAAAGCACCTCCATTTTGCCCTGTTTTCTAGTTTCTCTTTTAGATAGCCCCATTTAGCTTCCATTTCCCTGTCACACGATCTCGTTTGTGAAGTCCCCAGACGTCCAACTCGGATCTTACTAGAGGATCTACCCCGTGGTGGCACTGGATGGTCTTCTGAGAGTATATCCATTACATCTCACTTTTCTTCAGCATATTTATTGGGCAATAGTTTATTGCCCAATGTTTCGCTGCACTGCCGAATTTTCTTGTTCCTTACTATTTCTGATCGGTCACCTGATTTTCACTATTGAGCCAGAGGAGGTAGATGTTGATGGAGATCTGCACTAGCCTATTGTCGATGCTTTCCGTAATGTAATGGACAAGTTCCTGAACCATATAGAAGCAGTGACCTCAGGCTAGTGTTAAAAATTCTGAATTTGTCTTTTATGCTGAGTGCTGCAGATATCCACGCTAATTTCAGAGTGAAGAACACATGTATTGCCTATCCGATCCGATCCGATCCCGGATGGCTTCAGCATCCTCATCTAATCCACCTGCCTGCAGATGAAATGATGCTTTTAGCTTAGTGAAAGTGATGACTTCCTTTATATTTCCTCCAGTGCTTGTGATTGCTGTTTGTTGTTAGTGATGATCAGGTATCTTCATCACTTCTGTCTTCTCATTGCTTGCCTGAAGTACCCGCTTGGTTTCCCATCCCTAAAATTTGTTCTTTTTGACTGTATGTCTTTGAGCTTGTGCAATACGACATATAAGTCATTTGGAAAATCGAAATCTCCCTGGGTCTTCTGAATGGTTCAACGTATGTCCATCTTTTCTCTCCTCACAGCCTTTTAAATGACCAAGTCCACCACAATCAGCTTTATCTTACTTTATATTTTGATTTATATTTTTATATTTTTGATTTACAGCTTGATTCCACACTGTATTTTTGGTACAAATATGGAATTTTCAGCATGGATATCGGTAGCTTTTCTCTGTGAATTACTTGGCATGTG